ACGACTACAACAGTAGGCACACAAAAATATCAGCAGCAGCCCAGTATATCCCGCCAAAACGTTAAGTTCTCGGTATAACGTTCTCAGTTTACATGGAATAGAAAGACTATATTGAATCCATTGCTAGGTCAGCAGCTAAGAAAGTTGGTTCACTGTAGGGTGCGAGACAATATATTTTCAAGAATCTATGTTACATATCTATAAGTCTACCATGCTTAGAATATTATTGACACATATGGTCCGGTTACGTTTAGCTTCTTGATAAAATCCAAAGAATAATCAGCAATATTATTGGTTCTGATCTGGTGGCTCGGCTTCAGTCACTTTCCCACCGCCGTAAGGTTTCCTGTGTCTCTTCTATAAATACTGCTATGGTAATTGTTCAGATGGGCTCTTTGCTATGGTAGCTAGACTTTTTTTTAAATACCTGGGAAGAATCTTCACAGAGGACGATAAGTGTGACATTGAGATCCGTAGATGTATTGGGATGGCCAAGGACATATTTCAAAAGCTGGGCAGAGTATTGCGAGACAGGAGGATTTCTTTGGTAACAAAGAAAAGAATACTGAGCTGTTACGTGATATCTGTCCTTCTTTACGGCAGCGAATGTTGGACGATTTCCTCAAAGATGAAGAAGAGACTATAGGCAACAGATGTGGTTCAACAGAAGGATGCTAAGGATATCCTGGACCGAGCGTGTGAGCATCAATGAGATCTTAGAGAGATTGCAAACAAGGATGAGGCTTATACTTAATATCAGGAAGAGGCAGCTGAACGTTCTGGGACACAAAATGAGGGCCTGGAGAATCTGATACTCAAGGGTTGAATAGAGGGATAGAGAGATAAGGGAAAACAACGCATGACATGCCTAGCGGCTTTAAGCAAGTGGATGACAGAACGTGGCAGAGGGAAGGAACTTGTTGAAAGCTGCAAAGGATAGAGGGGGGTGGAGAGCCATGATCACCTACGTCCTGATAGGCCGTGGCACATAAAAAGAAAGAAAGAAAGACTGGAGTCAATTTACAGTTGAGCTAGCTAGATATAACCGTAAATTCTATGCTAACAATTTCTTTTCTCGCACTTCTCGCTTGTGGAACCCCCTTCCAGTTCCATGCTTTCCAGCTAACTTCAACCTGCAAAAATTTAAATGCAATGTCAGTCGCTATCTGCTGTCTTCCTGATTACTCTTTCCTCTTCCCGCTCATCATTAATGTTTCTGTTCATAATTCTTCCGCACCCTGTAACCCCTTGTTTCTTAGCGGCTTTGCTTGCTTGTAGGGAGTGATACCGATTTAAAAAGTGAGTTCCGCAAGAAGAAAAAAAATCCCGGTTGAAGTTTGACCAGAGAACTGACAGTAAGCATGTGATAAAGTGTATAAGCCGAAGAGACTGTCCAAGCTATAAAGTCTACCATGTAACTAAACAAAATTGCTTTACCGTCAAGCTTAATTAGGTAAGAAAAGAAAAAAAACAGAATTAATGTAAGCACATTCACGTGTCATCTCGTTTATTGTTAAATCTTACGTCGTCTTAGTTATGTTCAGCAAATATTCTTTTATGTGACATGTGCTCATGACTTATTTAGACATTTTTTGTTTTCCTTTTCGGGTAAACTTTCCCTGACCTCATCCAACACAAATAAAGTTTTATACTCCTGTCCTAATAAACACTTTACGATCTACGTCATACCTCTTTACCCGGCATAGATGATTATTTTAGCTAGTGTGTGTGAGTCAATGAAAGAGAGAGAGAGAGAGAGAGAGAGAGAGAGAGAGAGAAAACATTATTATATTAGTGTTATATATAACACTAATATAATAATGTTTTTTCTATAATAATATTATTATATTAGTGTCATATAGGAATAAAGTGTCACTGCCGACACTGGATTTTGATCACAAATCACGACAGAACAAACACAGGCGATCCCATTTTGATAAGTAGATCACGTGATGGTAAAGGAAGTGTATATGAGAATTAGCGTGGCGTCTAAGTGATCACTATACGGATTACTTCGGAAGTGTGCCGGTCAAACTCTCTGCCTCCAAGCAGAGAGGATCCCCAGACGAAGCTATGTCGAAGGGCAGTCTCGTCTCGCGAGACAGCTACCCGACTCTGTTTTTTACGGGGTCTACGGGGAATATTTGGCCGAGCCTACGGACATGGATACCCCACAATAAATCTCGGCCTTGTGTCACATCCGACCGCATGCGGCGGTTAGTGAATATCATCACTATACGGATCACTATTCGGTGGTTACATTTTGAGCGAGTATTATCAAACAACTATTATAGTAAGTGTGTTAGTCGAAGGCGTCTGACACCAGTATTGTTTAACTTCATTACTATAATCGTATCTCTGTCGCTACTGCAATGAGCATTACGAAAGTGACAACGAGTGTTCGTTGACATTAAAAAAATAGGCATCTAAGTGTTCTAATGTGATACAGAGATGCGGGTATCTAACTGGTAATAACAAGACAACATACCTTTTTCTGTTGCATACCCATGAAGACAAAGCACCGAACAGTCCGTCTTGAAACCAATGTATCCAGCTTGGCATTGATCACATTGTTGTCCCACAAACCTCGGAAGGCACGAGTCACACGCGTCACCACCAAAGCCATGCTTGCAAATACATTGCGGAGGATTACTATGTCCGTTCAAGAGTGTGCAGTTACCTGTAAAAAGAGAATTATCAAATCAGTTTTTAAGATTTAAATCAGATTGCATGAAAATTGTATTTTAAAATAAAGTTTTTGTAGATAACCCTAATACTTCGGACTGAAAACACTCAGATGAAATAAGATCAACATTTAGAGCTTTATATGCGTTTTTTGAACTAAAAGCTCAGATGTGGATGATCATCGCTTGAAGACAATGATGCTTTAAAACTCAAGGTAGGGGAGAACGTATTGCCATGGAAAACTTTTGAAGAGTTAAGACCATCAGATAGCATCATATATAAACAGCCATGTTCGTGAGTTTCCAAATTAATCAAAATAACGAAAATAATTGGTTTGAATAATCAAGAGTGGTCTCCCCGTTTTTTGTTACTCTCGTCTTTGAGAGAGCTATTTCTGTTTACTTGGTCTATAAAAGGGCACTATACGCGAACCTTGTATTCTCAGTTGAATAAAGATTTCTTAAAGCCTACACCTGTGTACTGTTGTCATTACAATAATATTCATATACGTAAAAAAAAACACAGACACCATTGTTGTTGATGCCTATGGGAGATGGACAACAATAAAATGTTTCAATAATAGGGCTCAGATGGATTAGTGTTTGGATGTACATCAGCATATTCTCTAACTAATTAGTTAATCTCTAATTTTGTCAAATCGTTAATTAATTTTGACTAAAATTATCTTAACAGTAAACGAACCCAAAAGTTAGAATAACTGAGGAATTTCATTTTTTTTAAAAAATTTCTTGCGACCTTATCAGGTGAACATATGATGGAAATAACACACCTAAATCAGAATGCAAAAGCCGACTTGCTATTATGAGAAAATATGGCAGGAAAGATCGCATGGTGATAAGGTAAGCGGTTCATGCAGGAACGATAACCGATCACTCAAGATAACAAACAACGATAAGGCATCATCCTCGAGCGAGTTCCAATGTGCTGACTGTTATGGGACCTTACCCATAATAACACAATGGGCTATTCTATACGTAATAAATACTGCGCCTCAAGAGGAAGCAGGGAGTTCAGTTTGAAGTCGGGCGACCGGCTGACCAGCTGAACTCTGCCTTCGGGCGGGGAAGAACCCAAACGAGGCTACGCCGAAGGGTGGGATCTCTTTCAGGGAGGTAAACCGACCCTGAACCCGTTTATACGGGTTCAAAGGGCATATTTTTGGCCGAGTCTACGGGCTCGGAGATCCCACGTTACACCGGCCTTGTGCCACATGATGTCCTCGTAGTGGGGGTGACTAAATATTGTTTAGTCTGAAGTCTGGAGTGAGGACCGTCAGGAGTTTGTCAGCCAGTCAGTCAGAGCGAGTCAGTCAGTCGAGTCAGAGGCAGTCCGAAACAGAGTCGCGTTCAGACAATTACTACTAAACCTGATTGTTCGTATTAACACTTTCTACTTCTCTGTATATATTCCTGTTTGTAATATATCTGTGTTATTCCATATTCGTATTCTTCTTTATTGGTTCTACCTTGGACTATCACCGTGGTACAAGGAACCGGACCATAACACTGACAAATAATTTTTTTGGTTATAAAAAAAAAATGATTTGTCCCTTCAGGATGCAAGCAATCGTTTCTTTTCAAAAATTACTTTTCTTTATTATTTCTGAAATGCGATGACTTCCTAGCAAAACGTGTGCGTGTCGCTTCCCATTGCCTGTTCAATTGTTTTGTCCTCTTAGACTGTCATTGAAAGCTAGAGAATCCAATCTACCGAACCATTTAACTATAGGGGAAGAATAGATTCATGCCTTTTTCAAGTATATTTGTGCGAATGTAAAAGCAACTGAATGGATGGGGAATTGAATTCAGGTTACTGACTCCATTTTCGGCGCCGATAGCAGTTACGCTACACGGACATCCGATAATATTGAATCATTAGACAAATATAAATAAATGAATAAAATGGAAATAAATAAAATCAATTTAAAAGGCGGCTGTAATATATTTAGTCCTTATGAAATTAGCCAGAATCGAAAGGAGAGGCCGAAATAACCCGTAGAAAGATCAGTAAGTAACATCCATGATATACAGCAGTTCTTGTTTGCTTCAGTGCTTCCTAAATCTGAGTAAAGGCTGATTTTTGGTTAGTAATGACACGCTATACATAAAATAAAATAATGATATAAACATGACAGGACATCACCATGAAGCAATAGTTAGCAAACTCGTAAACTAATAAAGCGAGTTCCATCCTCAAGAGATGACACATTTGTGGCAGACCAAAGTTAAGCTTATTAAATAGAAAAGGCATTCAGCTATGCAGATATCATGGAAAACGCACTCTCACTAATGTTTACAGCCATATAGAGTTGAAATACTGATTCCCGTATGATCACCGAAGTTAAGCAATGTCGAGCCTAGTAGGTATGTAGATGGGTGACCGTCTCGGAATACCGGTGCTGTAAGCTTGGATGAGGAGGTGCTTCAATGGATAATGGCTCGGGAATTTTAATCGGAGAGATAATTTCCAATTTAACTTGGGTCCGTTATATTCACTTACGCACAAATACTCTTTGGAAAGATATTAATTCACCTCATCTCTCTAATCTATGAGTTAATAATGTGATACAAGTCTTACTAATTATCTTCAAAAAATTATGATAACCTTAAGATATTTTCTGGCTTTAAATAACTAGCAAAGTGTTGATAAGCCGTAGAAAACGAACAAATCAATCAATCCCACTCTTGTAAATCATAACTGATGAAACGAGTTCGATTCTCACTGCTTCTGACAGAGCGAATTAAATACGATAAATGTCAAAGGCATATTGCCGTGAAGCAGTGGTTAGAAAGTTTGCTGACTTATTAATGAAGTATATGTGAAGTCACTCTATGAATGCAACTGGTAACATGTAACCCAATACTACCTGTCGCATAGAAGTGTCATCAGTGACTAAACCAGTTCCTCCACCGGTCATTTCTCTTGAAGATGAAAGATACTTTAAGATTAAAAATAAGACTTGGTGAAAGGGAGAATTAATCTACTTGCAGGGTCAATGACCATCTAGCACAATGGGGTCGACTGGGCTCTATAGCTTTTGATGCAACATGAAATGGCATTGCTGGACGTAGGGCTTCTTAGATTGAAGTCATCGGCCAGAGTGGACAGTTCCTTCGATGGAATCAACAGATACATGTATGGAACAAAGGCGAACCTTCAAGCGAGACGATATTGGTTGTGGTCTGTCTATCTGACCAAGTCGCGTTACCCATGGATAAATGTAAAGAGTTCAATCCTCACTGCTTATCCTGAAGATTTGGAAAGACGTCTCGAGGCTGGATAATGGCTAAATTATTTTCGTGAATCATTATTAAAGTTCACTGGGTTTCCCCTTGTTCGTAGCCTTTTGTCATAACAACGTTGGTTCCTTGAAAATTAATTAAATGTACAGTAAATACAAATCAGGAAGTTATCTCCAATAATACAATTGCTGTTTTCGCTATGAATAGTTTCATCAAAATAAAAGTTTTTTTTCCAAAAATTATACATTTGAAATATCTCCAGATGTTTCTCTTTTAACGCTTAAAATAGATTTCAAAACTGGAGGGATAATATTCCCACGTACCTTACTCAAGAAACACACATCTATCGTTTACAGAACAGTTTTCTTACAGGAACTATATTAAAAGTAAAATAAGATAAGGAAATCGAATATAGAATAGATTTCGCTAGGTGTAGTTTCCCCCAACACGGATATTTGCTACAAAACCAATTTATCAAATTCAAGTCATGTTCTTAACTAGCCTTATCACATCGAGACTTTCATCTCAATGCAATGAATAGCACCAAACCCGTTCAGAAATATGTAAACTCTCAGCTGTATACAACCGCTTTTTCAAATCAATGATTAAAAATGGCTTCAAACGAATGGTCTATAAGTGTTAGTGAGGACCACCCTTCTTTAGACCTTGTGGACCTGTGTTACAGAATAAAAACAATGAATTTTATCAAATAAGAAAACATCATTTTAGGACTACCAACAGCAGCAACAACTAAAATGGATAGCACATATAACTTGATGAAAAATAACAATCAAGTTGTTGATGTGTCACACTATTTCTAACAAAAAGGTAGGAAGGCAATCTCCATAAATACTGGAAAGAACAATGACAGTAAACTTGACAAACTTATATTCCTGAAAACTGTTTTAAGAAAAAAAAAAATCAAACAATGGTAACACAGGCTTCTAGGTGAATAAATGCCATATGTTTCCATATCAGGAAACGACTGATATCACGATTACATTCGTTGATATTTTTTCCTCATTTTCTTGAGAGTTGTGAAGTGGGCAAATCGCCAGTTGGGAAATGTCCGATGATAATTTGATAAAATAACGAAGAATGAATAATTTCTTCTACAAAGCTTGTATGCACGTGTTTCTGCAAGGGAAAAAGAAATCACTTACCGTTTCCAGTGCAGGAAGGAGTGCCTGGACACACCAGAGTGGAACAGTCAGTGCCTTCAAATCCTGGATTGCAAATACACACTGACTGATTTTGTTTTCGTGTACAGATTCCTCGATTTTGGCAGTCCGGCTCGCCTGTGACAATAATAAACAAAAGAATTAGAGAGAGAAGCACAGAAGAAATGCAAATACTGCCATTATGCTTGGAAAAAATAACTAAATCAACATGAATGCGGCAAGATCGCTGTAAGGGAATATAGAGTAAGCACAGAATAATAATATCGATCAAATTATGAGTATATTGAATCTAATAGAAAAGACAAGGAAATAGGCAAAATCTGTTTAAAAACAGGTGGAGTCATCATAGAATAAAAGAATGGATAAAAATGACTAAAAATTATAAAAATGGCAATGTTTAGGTTGAAGCAGTGATCCATTGGAAATTGTGAAAACAGATTTCTTAGGCCCAAATCAAAAACTGTCCGAGAGAATTTAAGATGTATAATTCTTTAGAACTTGAAAATTCAAGCTGATAACTCCATCCAGGAGTCAGGCCGTAGATATGGCTGTTCAAGAACATCTCATTGGTACCTGTCTATATTTCTGAGATGAGGTATTATGTACACTACATACATTATTCGGACTATTGTCCCCAGCTTTGTCGCCGTATTTATCACAACGTTTCGGCCGTTGTACGCTTCGGGCTTTCTTCCGGTGGTTGGAATGTCGAACTGAATCCTTTATTTCGCTTACTGGGGTAGACTGTTCTAGTTCCACGTGCCATGTCTAATGGATGTCAATTATCAGATATCTCCTGTTAATTTCCCTCTCCAAGTTCTGCACTACCGTAACACACTATTTGGGTCCTGTCACTGGATCTAACTAACGCCTTTATCCACTGTGCCATGTGTCCTTGAGGACCATTAGACATGGCACGTGGAACTAGAACAGTCTACCCCAGTGAGCGAAATAAAGGGTCGAACGTCACAATTAAAAGCTCACAAAATAGCTCGACTTCGTCAGAGAACTTAAAAAAAATCCAGTGGAATAAGAAAAGGGTCGTTGTACCCTATCATCGTTACTGGGGCGAAAAGCTTTGCAAAAGTAGAAATACGTAGGAGAACCGAATTCCTTCAAACGCTAGCCTTGTTCAATTCACCAAGAATTCTGATAAAAATACCCGAATATTGAAGGATCTTGTCACTTGATTTCCATTAAAAATTATTAGAGTATTAGGACGGAATGTCTCTAAAAATTAACAAAATAACAATAATCTCTAAAAATAATAATATCTCAATCCTCGAGATATCTCTAAAAATTAATCCTAGATATCTCTAAAAATTAATAATCCTCGAGATATCTCTAAAAATTAATCCTCGAGATATCTCTAAAAAAATAATCCTCTAGATATAAAAAATTAATCCTCGAGATATCTCTAAAAATTTAATCTCTAAAAAATTAATCTAGATATCTCTAAAAAAATTAATCCTCGAGATATCTCTATTAATCCTCCGAGATATCTCTAAAAATTAATCCTCGAGATATCTCTAAAAAATTAATCCTCGAGATATCTCTAAAAAATTAATCCTCGAGATATCTCTAAAAAATTAATCCTCGAGATATCTCTAAAAAATTAATCCTCGAGATATCTCTAAAAAATTAATCCTCTAGATATCTCTAAAAAATTAATCCTCTAGATATCTCTAAAAAATTAATCCTCTAGATATCTCTAAAAATTAATCCTCGAGATATCTCTCTAAAAAAATATTCTAAAAATTAATCCTCGAGATATCTCTAAAAATTAATCCTCTAGATATCTCTAAAAATTAATCCTCTAGATATCTCTAAAAATTAATCCTCGAGATATCTCTAAAAATTAATAGATATCTCTCGAGATAAAAATTAATTATATCTCTAAAATTAATCCTCGAGATATCTCTAAAAAGATATCTCTAAAAATTAATCCTCGAGATATATCTCTAAAAAATTAATCCGAGATATCTAAAGATATCTCTAAAAATTAATCCTCTAGATATCTCTAAAAAAGATATCTCTAAAAAATTAAAGATATCTCACAAAAATTAATCCTCCAGATATCTCTAAAAATTAATCTAGATATCTCTAAAAAAATTAATCCTATCTCTAAAAATTAATCCTCAGATATCTCTAAAATTAATCCTATATCTAAAAAATTAATCCTCTAGATATCTCTAAAAATTAATCCTCTAGATATCTCTAAAAATTAATCCTCGAGATATCTCTAAAAATTAATCCTCTAGATATCTCTAAAAAATTAATCCTCGAGATATCTCAAAAATTAATCCTAGATATCTCTAAAAAATTAGATCCTCTAGATATCTCTAAAAATTAATCCTCGAGATATCTCTAAAAATTAATCCTCAGATATCCTAAAAAAATTAATCCTAGATAATCCTCGAGATATCTCTAAAAAATTAATCCTCTAGAATCCTCGAGATATCTAAAAAATTAATCCTCTAGATATCTCTAAAAAATTAATCCTCTAGATATCTCTAAAAAAAATTAATCCTCAGGATATCTCTAAAAAATTAATCCTCTAAAAAATATCTTAATTAATCCCGAGATATCTCTAAAAAAGAGATATCTCTAAAAAAAAAATATCTCTAAAAAAAAAAAATCCTCGAGATATCTCTAAAAAAATTAATCATGATGAAAAAGTTTTATCGATATCTCTAAAAATTAATCCTCGAGATATCTCTATTAAGAGGAAATGTCCAGAGTATCCTCGAGATTTTTGAAAAGTTTATTAAATCTCTAAAAAATTAATCCTCGAGATATTCTAAAAAATTAATCCTCGATATCTTAGTCCTGGATATCTCTAAAAATTTAGATATCTCTAAAAAATTAATTTATCTCGTTAGATAAAAAAAAACATTCCTCAAGAAAATCAAAATATATCTCTAAAAATTAATTTAGATATTAAAAATTTTCGAGATATCTCTAAGGATTTCGAGATATTCA